TCAAAACATCCATTCCTCTTACCGAAGTTTCCAGCGACTCCATATCCATTTCTCTCGACAGTTCCAGCCGGAGCTGAGTGTAGTTGGCGGAGCACAGTACAGATGTCAGGTTACTGGGAGATAGGATGTTCCCAGCGCACAGATCGCTGAAGGCCTTCGAGATATCAGGCTGTCTCCCAATCTAGACAACCAAATGACATAGACGGGACAAAGAGAAGATTGGGGAAAACATACCGATGTATAGAGGACTGGTGAAAGCCTGTATATCTCTGGAAGGTTGTGTAACAAAGTAAGAGTAAAGTTGTTTAAGTTCGGAGAATGAAGGAAAATATCCTGGAGATGTAGAAGTTCATTTTCTGTAAGCACACAAACAAGTAATTTAGAATTATATATGAAAAAAAACAATAGAAAAAATAATAGTGGGTCAGGTGTTGATATTAAAAATAAAGAAAGCATATCCTGACAAGGAGCACATTAGCACATGGCGCTCTGCCTTCTGTAAAGCACATGTGCTCCTGGTCAGGATATGCTTTCTTTATTTTTAGTACTATATATATCTCTAGTACTAGGACCAGGGATATTTTCATGTGTCTGTGGTGGATGTCTTCTTCATGAGGGCTTGGTAGGTCTATATAGCGTGGGGAGCGCAAGGGCGGATTTTTATAACATTCCAATCATACAGAGATATTACAATGACCATTTATACTCGTTGACAAAACTTAAGGAAGTGAGAAATCTTTGCTGGTCGCTTATTTTTTCTTAGAATATTGATCTATATATTAATAAAGGTAAACTCTCCCGTCAAAATAGACGTCAAATAGATGGCGTCTAACTTTGACGTCTATTTTGATGGGAGAGGTGACCTTTATTTTTATAAATTACTAGACGGGTGACCCGGGCTTCGCCCCGGGATTGACCCGTGTGCATATCTACCCGAGTGATATATATTTAGATAAGATTTTTTTTATAATTGTTTGTTATTAGCATTATCTATTTGTTTGCATCAGCATAATTTAATCGTTGACAGAGGGCGCTGTTCGTGAGCTAAGTAGAATAATTTGAATATATAGTTTTAATAATTGATTTATATATTTTTTAAAATAGCCTATCGTCTTCCCCGTATTTTTATACCTATGTATGGAAATTTTGGGTTGAATTAGTGAACTACTGCGAATTTGTATACCGGACATACAAACATTGATTTTTATATATATAGATATATATTTATAATAAATAAATCCGTCAAAAAATATATATAGACGACAGGTGACATCAAATACTTTCAACCTCCTCAAGTTTATTTGTCTATATTTGTATATAAGGTAGGATCAAAAAGTTCCCGAACTTTTTTTTTAAATTAATTATTTATTCATAATATAGTAATTTAAACATAAAATCTTTTAAAATAGGAGCCTTGGTTATCTACACATTTTTTTCAGCATGAAAAAAGCTGTTGAAATGCTAGTTCAAAGTCCATTTTTCTAAGCTTGTTTAGCTCCATCGTCGCATCTTCAATTACTTCTAATGACGATAGAAAATTTTGTAAAAGTTACAACTTCCTTTTGTCCATGAATGTAAAAGATATCTCAATAGATTAAATATTAGATATGGTACCATTGGTGCCCAGCCTCTGCAGAAGGACCCGGGTAAAGGAGTGTAACAGATGCAGAGCTGGCCGCGGTACTGCCGTCTCCACAAGCGGCCCGGTCACTTCAAGGAGATCCAGAAAACTGTCAAACAGATATGTCAGTTAACACAAAGCAATAACACGTTACCTATATTGTTACATTATGGCTAATGAACCTATTTTAATTTGTAATATTATTTTTCATCTATTTTAAATTCAAATTTATATTTAATTAAAAAGACATATATTGGATATATCAAAATATCATTTTTTTTGCTAATATTTCAGTTAGCTGAACGCCAACCTTTATCAAGGTGTTATAACATATTTAATGTATGTCAACAGCAAACTCAAACTTAATTCTGTCGACGTTATGTGGCGCTGAGTTTGTTGTTGACACACATTAAATATGTTATAATACCTTGATAAAGGTTGGCGTTCAGCCAACTGAAATATTGGTAAAATAAATGATATTTTTTAAATTCAATATATGCCTTTTTAATTAAAGATGTATTTATGGATTGCTCTATTTTCAAAATTTTATATTTATTTATTTTATTAAACAGAATATATGTATTATAGAATCACCATTTGTATTTAGGTACACTGTGTGACTTCACTGCTCTCTTTGATGTGAGAAATAAATTATTCTGGAGGCTACTTAAAGTGGAGTTATTTTTCCATTATATAAATTGGTAGGATGGTTGAAACAGGCTCTGGTAAGATGCAAGACCCGGCACAGGAGAAAATAAAGGTTGAAGAGTCTGCCAAGCTGCAACTGTATTATTTCTGGTTTCTTTTTGTTATTAAACTTTTATTAATAAATGAGCCAAATATAATTATTAGTTATATTTATTACATAACTTTTATAGGGCACATTATATTCTTCTTTTTACAACAAAGCACCCAATCACATACCAATTGATGATGATTTCAATACTTATTCATAGAACACAATATATAACACATCCCCCTTAAGCTAAAGGGTTAGTCTCACGGGCGGTTTCACCACTCTGCCAGTCCTTGTAATGTAGGGCCTTGAAGTTCCACCTTCCCCTGCAGTCCTTGAGAATCTTGTTGGTGCCACAATATAACAAATGAAAACATTAAGACACGTGTTTTGTTCTCTTTACAAATCAGAATGAGAAGATGAACAATCAATTATTATATTTATTTTAAGAGAGGGAACTTTCTGACTTATGGCCTTTCTATCAAATATATCTACAGCCAAACTCGAGCTGTCTCTATATATCGAACTTTTTAATTCATAGAAGCATTTTTCTAGCAGACATATTCAATTTATTTATCATCATCATCATTTTTTATCGTAGGTAGTTATCAAATCCTTTTGTAATATTGTGGGTTTTTTTTTTTTTGTTCCTTTTTAAGCAATAAAATATATTATAGAACTAAGGTGTAATATTCAATTCAAACATATGGAATCAACATCGAATCATTTTTAAAACAAAGCAAAATCATAATCTTATACAACTTTCACTTTTTCATACAACATCTGTTATAATAAATGTAAACTATTTTCAAAAAACCAACAACAGTAACTCCTTCCAGGCGGAACTATTAGCCATCTATTCAGATCATGCTGTTTCTGTTCTCTTTAAAATTCAAAATACGAAGATGAACAATCAATTATTATATTTACTAGACGAATGGCCCGGGCAACGCCCGGGTTTTACCCGAGTGCGAATATATTTTAAAGACGTTGTCTTGGGTGGTCGCTAGAGACAGGGTGGTCTGTATAGACAGGTGTATGTATCACACAGCTGATAACAGGGTTGTCTAGAGTGGCCGCTATAGACAGGGTGGTCTGTATAGACAGGTGTATGTATCACACTGCTGATAACAGGGTTGCCTAAAGTGACCGCTATAGACAGGTGAATGTAACACACTGATGATAACAGGGTTGCCTAAAGTGACCGCTATAGACAGGGTGGACTGTATAGACAGGTGGATGTATCACACAGCTGATAACAGGGTTGTCTAGAGTGGCCGCTATAGACAGGTGTATGTATCACACAGCTGATAATAGGGTTATCTAGAATGGCCGCTATATACAGGGTGGTCTGTATAGACAGGTGGATGTATCACACAGCTGATAACAGGGTTGTCTAGAGTGGTCGCTATAGGCAGGGTGGTCAGTGGTCGCTATAGACAGGGTGGTCTGTATAGACAGGTGGATGTAACACACTGCTGATAACAGGGTTGTCTAGAATGGCCGCTATAGACAGGTGTATGTATCACACAGCTGATAACAGGGTTGTCTAGAGGGGGGCAGGGAGGACACGTGTTCGCCGGCAGCCAATGGGCGCGCATTCTATCCGTGAGCTTCAGACAGAATAAGACAATTATATATATAGATTAAAAGAGAGTGAACTTTCTGACTTATGGCCTTTCTATCAACTATCTACAGCCTAACTCGAGCTGTCTCTATATAATATAACTGTTTCTGTTTAACAATAGTAAATTGATGCAATTATTCCGTAGCGGGGTTATCGTGTTTTGTGTGTTGAAAAAAAAACTATAAAAATGGAATTACGAGGTTCACCTACCTTACAGAGTCCAGTTTGCCGCTGGGTGTCCAGGCTGAGGTGTTGATAGCAGGGACCGATCCGTTAATCATCAAGGACTGTATGACATCCTGGACTTGTTCTTTGACCTGAAAATCCACACTCAGTCAGTACAGCCTCTGTGGACTCATCTAAGATGAAAACAGTCATAGATATAGTACACGTTGAATGTAATGTTTTTTTTTTTTTTTTTGCTTATCCCTAGTACACGTGGTACAGGCCATGATAATCATGGTGGGTAGGTAGCGACTGCTTTTACTGTAAGTACACCACATGTTTACACATGTGAAAAACAGTTCGACTTTGCACTTACAAATATGCCAGAGCCCCGTTTGGTTATTTGCACTCGCTGGTGGGGTTGGATTTTTGCAAGAATCGGGGGGCCATTGGAGCATTTTTTTTTAACAGAAAAAGTGTCCTATACGGGAATCGAACCCGGGTCGTAGTGGTCGAAAACCAAACGGTTTAACCAGTCTTCCACCAACCCCCGCTGAATGTAATGTAACAAACTGTATATACTGTGAGAAAAAATATTATAAATGTAATATTGTACTGGGATAAGGTTCATAAATTAAGAAATAGGCATCTCCTTATAGTGAAACTGAAAGAAAAAAATAGACGACCAGGAATATCAAAGACTTTCCACTTCTTTAAGTTTTGTACATGAGTGTAGTAACGTATACGTATTAGAGAGAAAAAAGGCGTTTTCTGATCATGCAACTAAAAGGTTACTGATGGCTTTCGCCATCTATCGGAATAAATATCGAATATTCAATGAATTTAAAAAAAAATTATTTCAAGAATGGATATTTGGCCAATTCTGGAATAATTAATCTCAAGTATTGACCAGGCCTGTATTGCTTAACTTCGGTGATCGAACGAGAACATGTGTTTTCAATGTGGTGTAGCCGTAGACTAAAGTAATTTATCTATTTATTTATTTCGTCTCAATTTACAGGTGTTACATTCGAGCACAGCTCGCGAGTCACCTTGTCCTGGCTGTTTACACATGGCGTGGAGTAGAGGTGGTCCCCCCCGGACCTTGCAGGAAAGCAGCTGTTGGGCGATGAGCTCTTGACTAAGTGTCAGGGCCGGGTCGTCGGAATCGGGGATTGATATCTCCTTTAATTTGTATAATATCTTGTATGGTTGGATTATATATATATATTTGAATTTTGCATTTGAAGGTATAATTTCTTAATGGAAGTTTGGTACATATCTTCTAGATCGGGTTGGTTCAAGTCCTCCTTCAGTATCTTGTTTGATAGGTTGAATGGAGCTCCTATACTTGTCCGAAGGCAGATTCTCATAAATGCGTTTATCCTATTTTTGTCTATATTTGTAATGTATTTGCACCAAACTGGGAGTGCGTATGTTACTATCGGACTAAAGTAAAGCAACAACAATGATCTTATATAGGGAAAGCCGCGAGATCTTGCGGTCGACTTTAGAGAGTAGTGTTTGTTCTGGAAAAATTTTAATTTTAAAATAAAATATTTTTTATATAACATAATTTGAGTCAAAAGGCGATTCATCAATTAAGCTTATATAAAAGAGCGTACCTGGATCTATAAAGAAAAGAAAATTCTCAAAATATTTCGAGATAATTTGTTTTCATGTAATCTACAAGAATTTGTAAATTAAGTTTGCTGTGCAATAAATTGATAAAGAGGGAGTAATCTCTCGAAATATTTTGAGAATTTCCTTTTTTTACAGATTTAGGTACACCCTTTTATATAAATGTATATATAAGTTAATGTCTGCTAGAAATACTGTATATATAAAAAGTCGGTGGACGAATAGGTAACACCCTCGATTCCCGACAGCCATGAACCGGGATTGAATCCCACGTTAACATTTTGTTTAATATATGAATAACCTTCACATTCATTGTTGTAATTATCATGAACTAGGTTGTTCTTGCTGAGCGGTACCTATTAATGTGATTTGAACCAAGAAATACTGTTCGAAAAAAAGGAAAACGAACTCACCTTGAATATCAAACAAGCCAGACAAAACCTTCTCAAGAACAATATCCCCAAGGACCTGAGGACCTAACGACATCAATATAAATTGTAAATGAACACACCCTGTACATCACCCACAGTAAATATGATGATCTAGGTTGATCTTTTTGAGCGGTGGCACCTAATAAAGTTATTTGGAGCAGCAGAGAAATACTGTTAACGCATAAAGGTCGGTGGACGAGTAGGTAACACCCTCGATGCCCAACAGCCATGAACCGGGATTTAATCCCGCTTAAACATTTTGCTTAATATGTCAAAAACCTTCACATATTATTCATTGTTTTAAATATCATTAACTAGGTTGCTCTTGTTGAGCAGTACCTAATAAAGTGATTTTGAAACTGAAGAAATGCTGTTACCAGGTCATAATTGGATAAAGAGATAGTATATTTGGATATTCGTGTTACCATGCCGTGGGTTGAAGGACACTGCTTGCCACAAATCCATCGCTGCAGCGTCTCCACGGCCCGAAGGTCTTCAGGAGCGTCCACCACAAAGAACGTGTTCACGTCTTTCCATCCACAGAGCAATCTCCCAGCTTGGAATTCCTCTTTCACGAGATTCACCTGAATAACAACAGTTAGAACATGGTGGAACGCCTTAGTATAGCTTACCTTGGTATTGTCACTCAGAGTTCTGGCTATGGCCCTCAGGCCGAGTCCTAATTCTCTCCAGAGTTGGATTGGATTACTGAGTTGATGCCGCTTCTCTTTGATCTCTGTCACAGATGACAGATATTTTATTCTTAATGACAAAGATACTCATGGACAAACCTTAAAGAAGTTGTAACTTTCAGCATGTATATCGGGATTCAGACAATAACTCTAAAAAATATTACAGTGATCTTTATTGAAGACACACGAGATAACATACACTCATGGACAAAACTTAAGGAAGTTGTACCTTTCAGCATGTATATCGGGATTCAGACAATAACTCTGAAAGATATTGCAGTGACCTTTATTGAAGACACACGAAATAACATACACTCATGGACAAAACTTAAGGAAGTTGTACCTTTTAGCATTCAGGATTCATAAAAAAACTCTGTAAGATATACTCATAGACAAAACTTAAGGAAGTTGTACCTCTTTTAGTCTTCGTCAGAAAAAAAAGTAAAGCATTTGTCAAAGCGTTATAAATATATCCGAGGTTACAAGGGCGTTCAGCTGGACAACTCACCTTCCAGTCCACAGGCCAAGTTGCCGAAGACTTCCTCGATGAGATGTCTGTGGTTGGGACAGTTCTGGCTGAAGTTGAGTATGGCTGTTCCCAGCCATTGGGACAGCTCTTCTCCCCTGCCACATACATATATGCAACACTGAAGGATGGAATCTTAGAAATGGTATTCAAGAAACTATGGACATAAGCTTTTAGGACAGTATAATTAATATATACAGTTATCAGAGTCATCAAGCAATAATTCTTAATTCTGTCACCGTTTGCTTTTGTGAATGGAATAAATACCCAAATATGGCCATTTCTCATAACTATCGGTGGTGCAGTAGTAGAATGCTCGCCTGCCACGCGGGCGGTCCGGGTTCGATTCCCGGCCGATGCAATTTTTTTTTTACAATTTTTAAACCTCATTTATATATTATACAAGAATGACATCCACGGCGCAATTTATAATTGTAACGAATAGTATTTGAATAAAGGCATTTAATCGGGTAAAACCCGGGCGTTGCCCGGGTCATTCGGCTAGTTACATATAAATATCAGGGAATAGTATATCAATGAATAGTTTATTTCTGTTCCACCAGATGGCGCTCTGCCTTCTGAAAAGCACATGTGCTCCTGGTCAGGATATACCTTTTTTATTTTTAATATAAATATTTGTAAAACGACATTTGAAATACTATCCTGCATGTGTTTCTTTTCGAAGAAAAATCAAAATTTATTTTAAGGAGAAATATAGATTATTTCTAACCTTTTGGATGAGGTATGAAAGGGTGAATTGTGAAGAGTAATAATAAACGGAAAAATAAAAGTTTCCAGGGATGAGGTATGAAGGTATTCCCATCCCTGGTCACTTTTATTTTTCCGTTTATCATTACTCTTCACAATTCACCCTTTCATACCTCATCCAAAAGGTTAGAAATAATCATTATTTCTCCTTGAAATAAATTTTGAATTTTCATTGAAAAGAAACACATGCGGGATAGTATTTCAAATGTTAATATTTTACACAATTTACTGGCAATGCGCTTCTTTTAAATATCATCAAATATTGTCTCTACAGACCTTACTGCAATGATATGAGTTATTGAATGAGAGGGCTTGGCTCATCAGTAGTGAACCCTCTCAGCGGTTTTGCCAAATTAATCTCTAGACCGCTCTACTATTGTATTGGATTGGTTTGGAATATACCCTGTATTTTCTATGGAAGGCAGCTTAGGGGTGTTTAGTGAACTATGGACATAAGCTTATAGATTGATTTACTAATTTCAAATGTTGTTTTACAATCACAAGCCGCATTATATTGTATTATAAATATTTGTATCGAGCAATGCTCTTTGGTTTTAAAAGAAATATTTGTGCTTTGTAGTTCTTTTTCTTGTAAATTGATGGTGTGTTTGTTGTTTTATTTTAAATTGAAATAAATAGAAAGTTGAACATCGCTCAGATGGAAAAACAATTTAATTAATAAAGATTTCAACGTTATATCGGTTTTTTAAAAGAAACATTTGTAGTTTATAGTTCAAATTCTTGTATATTTAGAGCGCGTTGTTGTCTTATTTTTAATTCTATTCTGAAATAAATTGATATTTGAATAGTGCGAAGTTCTCATCGCTCAGATGGAGAAATAATTTTATTAATGAAGGTTTCAACGTTATATCGGTTTTAAAAGAAACATTCGTGGTTTAAAATTCTATTTCTTTTATAGGACGTTTAAATAACCTAATAAAGATAACTTTTGTTGTTTATTTATTTATATTGATGGTGTGTTTGTTGTTTTATATTAAATTCTATATTGAAATAAATTGAAAGTTGAACATCGCTCAGATGGAAAAACAATTTGATTAATAAAGATTTCAATGTTATATCGGTTTTAAAAGAAGAAACATTTGTGTTTTAAAATTCTATTTCTTTTTTACGACGTTTAGATGACCTAATAAAGATAGCTTTTGTTTTTTATTTCTTTTATATTGATGGTGTGTGTTTGTTATCTTATTTTTAAATTCTATATTGAAATATGTTGATGTTCTTTATTTAAAATATCAAATTTCATTCTATGATTGAATTAATCTGTGATTTAATTTATTCTGTGGTGTTGAGTGTATATATATATGTATATATATATATATATATATATATATATATATATATTTCTTTTAGAGAGACGGGTGTGAGAGAGTGTATGTGGAGAGGTTTAGGCATATGAGTTTATAAATTTATTATAGACATTTATTTTCATTATTTTTGTGCCTTCAATAAAGAAGATTTATGTTTTAATAGATAGTAATTATTACAACAAAATATAAAAAAGTTGAACATCGCTCAGATGGAAAAACAATTTGATTAATAAAGATTTCAACATTATATCGGTTTTAAAAGAAACATTTGTGTTTTATAGCTCTATTTCTTGTTGGCTATTGATGGTGCGTTGTTGTCTTATTTCGATTTCTATATTGAAATAAATTTAAAGTTGAATAGAACATCGCTTAGATGGGTAAAAAATCGATTAATAATGGTTTGAATGTTTGTTCTGAAGACTTTTAAGTATCATCAGTATAAATGGGTTGGTAGTGTGGGATACCTGAGTGTGGAGTCCAGCATGCGGTTCCAGGGATCACGAGTGAGGACCTCAACGAAGTACCCAGGAGTCCAGGACTTCAGACTGTCCAGTAGTGATCCTAGACTGGTTCCAAGAACTCGACGTTG